GTTATGTATTTTTATCATTCTGTATGTATTAAAATTATCGTCTGTGATGATATTAAAATTATCATCTTTAAATCTCGACTGCAGTAAGATGACTCCTTCTAAATTACCAGAGGAAAAGGAAGGATTTGGTCTACACAATGAAATACTTGAAATATCCTTTCCGAACCCAACAAAAAAAACATATTTTGCGATAAAACCTGTAATTTTTTCATAAAGTGCCCTACTACCAACATAATTTTCAAAGGCTGTACAATAATTTGAAATTGTATTACCATCAACTAGAGAACAAAAGGAGTATTTTTAACAGAACCCCTGGCACTTTAATCACGGTCCTGATCAAATTTCCTCCCCGCAAAGTTTTGCCGGAAACGGAAATTATTACGCTTTGCATCCCTGTTTACAGAGTGCTCTGTAGAGGTCTGCCCTGTTGGGATTTCTTACATTATTATGGATATTCATATAAGTAAAGATACGTTGATTACCGTTCAACGTATTAGCACAGAATAATAATAAGTACTACGTACAGAAAGTATTTTTGGCGAAGGTATTTAAAAAAATATGCTCAATGTCGTTAACAATATGGTGTAACTTAGCTTGTCTCAAGAGTCGAGCACCATTTTGTTGACAAACGTCAGTGATCGGTACTGCGCCGAAGCCATAGGGCTGACTTCGGTAAAATGATGTGTGACGTGAGGTGCCAAACTGCGGGAAATGGCGGAGGAAATACATAAATAACCATGAGTTAAAATACTGCACAGTAATACACCACCTTTTTTACATAGGTACATAGTTTATTGTCTTTACAATGTAAATGGGTGACGAATACACGTGCGTGCGTCAATGCTCGCTCGTGATTGTCCTGTCGATTAGTGATCTCAGGAGGTGTAGTCGCGCGTGTTTTGTTTTCGATGCAAACTCGTGGAGATGAACGAACAGGCCTGGTATTAGTAGCTTCTGCTCACGGCATGTAAGCAATTTACACCACTTCATAATTATGATCCTATCATAAGATTTTTTTTATAAAAGTTATTAAAAAAAATATATGCGTTTCTGATTCTTTGAGAAATGTTCGGGACTATTTACAAACTTTCATCCTAAATTTGTGTTTTGATGATCATTTTTTTAAATCGAACCAGAAGTATTTCTAAAATGTTTCAAGTAAAACTTAGTTATACAAAAAAAAACGTTTAATTCATTTGCTTTAAAAAATTTAATGCGTACTATACAAAAAAGTTTAGACTAAAGTAATTGATTTTTTTGTCTTACTATTCCTTTTTATTTGTATTTCTTTCATCTCCATGTCAATATATGCAGATCCCAGCAGTATATTATTCGCATACGTAACGTTACAATAAATACGTCCTTTGATGAAAGGGAAACTACGTGGAAAGGATTCTGTGCCCATCGTCATGTTGAATAAGTGGTATTCATCCTGAAAAAATAGATAATCTACCTTCAGCCTAGACTCATCTAATTCTGTGACTCACCTGATGATGTGATATTTAAGTATTTGCTTTGAAGGCAAGGTAAGTTGACTCGCTTTAGTAAATCTAACTAGTAAGAATAACTCTAAGGTAGAAAGACTGATTAATAATTGTGCCTATATTCCTTATCATGTACGACTGACTAAACCTTTATTTAAGAAAGAGCTGTTACAGTCAAAACTAATAATCGGTCAAAATGCAAAAAAAAATCAGTCAAAAGTGGGTTTGACTGATGCCCGTGGTCAATATAACTTTTGACTGATTTTATCAGTCAAATTGATTTTGACTGATTTTTGCAGTCAAAAGTGGTTTTTCCGATTATGAGTTTTGACTGTAACAGAGCAGCACTGTTTTAAAGTGACATTTCCATAATTAACGTCACTTTAAAGCAGTGTTCAACTAGTGTGTAACTTTTTTATTAATAAGGGGGTTAGAGTTACGGGGATATCGACGTAAATACGTTGTATACCCATGACAGTTTGCGCGACCTGTGTACCTACCATGAGTTTACGTTAGGTGTGCTCGCTAGCGAAAACGTCAAAAATCTCTATGGAGATTTTGTTTCTTGAAAGTAGCCGCTAGGGGCGCTGCACAATATGTCATACAATTAATGTCATTTTTTTACGCAGTCGCTAGCGAGCACACGTAACGTAAACTCATGGTAAGCACACTGTCATTGGCCTATGATCGCGCCGTGATGGCGCGCACTCGTTGATGTGGTTGAAGCATAACAGCTTTTACTCAGATTCAGATAGAAATGGTTACTTACCGGTGGAAACGGACATGTTTTAGTAGAATTGAAGGCTTGGGTCATAGGTGCCCCGAATATTTTGTCCCTATTGACCATATCACAAAACTTGAAGTGTAACTCAATAAAGCCACGCTTATACACATTCGTTAGATACTCGTAAAAGTAGAAACTTAACTGTAAATGAAATTAAATCAAACAATATTATGAATGTTATGGAAATTGGAATGTTAAATAAAACCACACAGTTTAGCAGGGCCCTTTGCTGCGGAGACATCAGCTTTTTTGCAGGATTCCGTTTAGTGGTCAGTATATGAAGTGATTTACTATTAGCATTAACACGTTTTCTATTGCAGCATCCCACAAAAAGGGATCCATTTGAATTTCAAACACACACCTGTGTGTTCACACAACAGTCCAGTTTTTCGGGATTCACCATTACTGAGTCCTGCTGAACTGAAGTAGGTACCTACCATAGGAAAGAGCCTGATAACCTGATAAAATAAAAATTACCGTCGTATTATTGTCCATCCAAATTAAAGTTTTGGCGTGCAAACCGACGTAGTAGATGGGGGTAGTACGGACAAACCTTGTCGAGGTGATGTTAAACCATAAGTATTTCAAATTCACGTATGTTGTTTTAGGACGCTCCGTAGATATGTATCTAAACTGAAATATAAAAAATTATACCTTTTTAGATAGTAAAATTTCATAAGTAAGTTACAATAATTTTAATTCTTAACAATGTTTGTAAAATCAGTATCTTGTATCATAATTTATTCATTTTTTGGTTTCTGTTTTAGTCTAGAAACTAAATTAAAGAAAGCAAATTAATTTATGTGATCAAATATTAAATCATTTAAAATATCACTTACTCTTTCATTGCAAGAGATGCGATAAGAAAGAAACAGCGAATTAAAAACGAAGAAAATAAAAATATAAGTTAAAATACTACGCGACATTTTGTCGAAATGCTACTGATTATTTTTTTTCGATACAAATTGCTTTTATACAAAACGCACATATATTCATTTAAATAGCATTTATATTGCACCTGAATCAGGTGCACTAACGACATGGTGTTTACCTTAATGTTCAATATTACATGAAATTAGGTATTTGAATTTTCTGATAGGATCTGGAATTATACGACAATAGTATAATGCATGCAGATTACAGGAAAACTATTCATTTTTCGTCTTATAGTCCAGTCAATGAATGCTTTAACGACGGTGTAGAGAGAAATCCGTGGAACACAATTTCTGACCTCGGGACTTTATTTAGACTAGTTGGAGGTGAACATAGCAAAAGTCCCCGCCCTCAGCCCTTGAGCCGACGGGAAGAGGGGGGTTTAAAGGTACCACTTTTCGGTTTTTCGCTTAATCCTCGGAAACTGCGTCCTAGTGACATGACTACTATGAACCAAAAAAGCTTATTCAATTTGCTACAGGTAAGATAGTCAAGCTTTTCTATATCTTGTATAGTTTTCGCGGCATCTGCTCTAGAAGGTCTGTAATATTGGAAATTGTATTTTTGTCTTACATGTTCCCATCAGGAGAAAATCGACTAAATCAACATTGAGCAAACATTATAGACATGCGGGAGCATGTTAAGCCTAGTTCCAGGGAGGGGACTGCACCGTGCGTATAATTAGACGAACCAATTGGACCCACTTTTGACTCCTCATCTCTCAAAAACTACTGTGCATTAACACTTCGGCTCATAACAATAATATGTTGAGTCTTGCAAGATAAACATCAGCTTCAAATTTCATAAATATATCTCAAACAGTTATTTATGTATTGCCGTTCAAAAATCTATGTTATGTTCACCTCCTAACTAGTCTAAATAAAGTCCCAGTCAGAAATTTTGTTCCACGGATTTCCGTCTATAATGCTTTATTGACTGGACTATTAGGGGCTTTTAATTACTGTGCTGAAGAAAAGGGACCTAACTCAGTGAGGCAATTGGAAAGGTATTACATTGCTTGCGTAGTAGGTACTAAAGATTATTCTAACGTTGAGTACTGATACCGCAGTGGATAGTGACCAGATAATATTATTTTGATTACTGTGTGTGTGTGAATTTCTATTGCCACACTGAGTTTCGAACTCAGCGCATTAGTTGGCATATCTTCATATCGCTATGGACTCCACCAATGATTTCCACAATGGCCGGTTGGTGGCGGCCTGCATCCAGCAGCGCCTTCCCGCTACCTTTATGAGGTCGTCGGTGCACCTTGTGGGTGGACGTCCTACGCTCTATTGAATATTAACAGTTAAAATAATCGCAAGAGGAGTCGTGAGCATAAGCTAGATAATAAGTAGGTAATAAACTCAAGGACAATAATCGACATTTTAACACAAAACAAATGAGCCTACAAACCATTTACATTTGACTAATTATGTTTGATGGCTCCATTTCCTTCATGTAAAAATGTATAAAATATAATAACTCCTAAATCGATCCTAATAAAAAATAGATTCGTTAAACTCGAGCCATTATAAAAACATTGTATTCTAACCCTGAATACCATATTAGTTTTAAAGCTGTATAATTATTTTTTAGTACTTATCTTTAAAATAAGTTTAGATAATTATGTACGCAAACTACTTACTTACTCGTACCTATGTAGTAGGAGGATTCCATCATAAATGTTTAAATTAGAGACGTAATAATTTGATTTAAAGATATATTAACTGTAGGGTTAGTAAGAAAATAAGTAAGATGTAGCTTGTTTCCTTTTTTATATCGATTGATGTTTTCACTTCCTTCAGTTCCATGTCAATGTACCCAGCTGCAACCAACCTCTTAAAATATGAGATATTACAATAAATACGTCCTTCATTGAATGGAAAACTGCGTGGAATGGACAGATGGTTGATGGTCATGTTGTATAAATGATATTCTCCCTGAAAGTAAAAACATCGTTTCAGCCAAATGACGTCCACTGCTAGATAAAGACAAAGATGGTCTGCGCTGCCCATATCCAGGTACTTCCCGCGACCTTCACCAGATCGTCGGTCCACCTAGTGGGAGGGCTGCCCCATCTCGTTCGCCTTGACATGGCAATCTCATTTTTATTTCAGTAGATAATTTATTTATTTAACTTACAAATCAACCTACTTATCTACTTCATATCATATTTTTTGGTGCCAAGTCATTTTAGTTCCATACCACTCACATTTTTTTTATGGAGCATTGGCATAGATTAACCCTTAGAGCCATAGCACGTGGTATTTTTAGCACAGGCAATCAGCGATTTAAGACTGTATTAATGCAGGACCGCGATTTCGCGACTCCATGCGGTTGGACGCGGTATCGGAATCGCGTTTTTTAGCGACTCTATCGATGCAGAATCCCGATTTCGCGACTTTACTAGGTCGGATGAGGTATCGGAAATGACATTTTCACTGTATCGAGCCCATAAAAGCGACTCAATCGCCGCGTTTAGCATTCATAAGTGTGGTCGCTGCTGCGCTGCATTTAGCTTCTAAAAAGCAGCTGGATCGCTGATCGCCCATGCTAAAGTAGCATGTGAGCTGTCGCTCATGATGAAATGGTAACCTTACCGGTGGATATGGACACGGCTGTGAAAATTTTCCTTGCTTCATAGCAGCTCCAAAGAATTTGTCTTTATGGATCAGATTGCACAATTTGAAGTGCATCTCTATGAAACCACGTTTGTACACATTTGATAGATACTCGTAAAAGTAGAAATCCAGCTGTAAACAACTTAGTGTTCACAAATGCAGTCGGAGGCATCAATGACTAATTCATTTGTTGGTGATTTGTATTTGATGCCTCCGACTGCATTTGTGATAGTGTTCACTTGTTCAGTTGTCTTGTTTTTGTTGCAAAATTGCCCTTATTGTAAGTGAATAAGAGGCTGTGTTTACCTTGATGTGCTGTCGTCTGTACAAATCTTACAACCCCGTCGAGTTAACGTCGAGTTACATTGACGCTCTGATACGGACGGGGCGAATGCGCTGAGGGGTGCCTAGTTATCCGGGAGGGAGAGTCGCATTCTAGCAAGGTGCGCAGTTAGCTGGATCTGGTTGTAAAAACTTACCGAAACATTATTGTCTATCCACTTAGAAGTACTAAAGTGCAAACCGACATAATAGAATGGGTTAGAGCGACCATATCTTTGGGAAGTCATGTTTATTGATAATATTTCAGGATCTTCGTATAGCTTCACTGGGTGTTCGGTAGATATATACCTAATCTAAAATATAAAAAAAAAACATAATAAGCAAAAAAGTATAAGTCTAAATCTCGAACTAATATAACTTGCAAAGTTTTTTTTTTTCATTATTTTTTTTTGAACCGTCATATATTCATCGGAATAAGATTCTTATGGTAGAAGAATTCTAATCAAACCTACCGAACTACCGTTTCGGAGTCTATTCCACACAAACAAACAAAATTATTTTCCTCTTTATAATATTGGCAAAATGGCATTGGCGATGGGACAACAAGGTTCTGGAATGGAGGCCGCCTACCGGAAAACGCAGCGTGGGACGTCCACCCACAAGGTGGACCGACTACATCATAAAGGTAGCAGGGAAGCGCTGGACGCAGGCCGCTACCAATCGATCAACACGGAAAGCATTGGGAGAGGCCTATGTTCAGCCATGGACGTCGTCCTATGGCTGAAATGATGATGACGATGATGACGAAAATGGCATTATATTGTATATTAAAACATAGAACACGGCTTACTCTTTCACTCGTACAATATGGATACAAAATCACAAATAAAATATTGGTTGAGTAGAAAGTCAAGATATATGTCAGCATATTACGCGTCATTTTGACAAAATGATTTACCAGTTACATACCACTGTAAAACTGAAGTATCATTTGAATGGAATAATCTTTTAAAATCTACAAACAACACAATACATAAAAAATAGTCATCATTTATAATGTCAACAACGATATTACAATCACTAAAGACCTACCATTTGAATTTACTAGTAGTAGTACAGAATGTTCTTTTAATAGTTGATCAAACCAAAAGGTTGATTCTACTACTTCTTGCAGGACTCAATAGGAGAAATATAAACTTACAATCATACATCAATCATCAGGTGAGATACAGGCCAAGGCTTTTCTTCGGTCACTTGGGAAAAAGTTCTTGCACCCTTATTTAGTTTAGTAGTATGTCGTTCTGTGAGTTTACACCAAACGTACGTATTCGATATCGACTGCGTAAAAAAAAAAACATTAAATGTATGACGGATTGTACAGCGCCCCTAGTGGACACTTTGAAGAACAAAAATCTTCATAAACTTTTTTGACACACTCGATATCGAATACAATTGATGTAAACTAACATTACGCCCCCTGTAATTCTTAAATTGTCACACAAACGTTTTTTCTTTCTGTCTTTCTTATTGCTTGATCAAATATAAAAATAACACTCTGTATATAAAAAAGAAAAAGCTTGTTGCTTTTAACGGTACATACCTATGTGCGTACGTATAAAAATAAGACAATCAGTCAAGACTTCAAGACTTGTCGTAATTATGTGGATTACATCCACTAGAATAGGGATGGCAAAACAATGTCATGCGCCACAATATTTAGGGCACGACGCTAATCACAAAATTCATTAAGAAATAAAAAAGTAAAGTATTTTGAACGAGGACTACAGCATTTGCCCTCATCAGTTCACTTCAGTCACTGTGCACTGTAAAGTCACTAGTGTCTAAGACGATGGCGTCAACTGTAGAGTTCTAGAAAGGTAGACAAACTATCATAATTTCAATCACTAGAGTGGCACCTCCGTATAGTAACGTCCAGTCACTCGCAAGTGGCAGTATTGATATCATTAAGTGCTATTTGATAGCACGTCTATGACTACATCAAACGTTTTTAGAAAAGTGGTACGTTGATACCTCAACAGTCAACGTTGAGTTAACTGCGCACCTCGTTAGAATGCGACTCTCCCTCGCACTCACCCACACGTCTGCCCCATTCGTACCAAAGGTGCAATTGTGTAAAGCAATCGTATACACTTGACAGTTCAAAACATATGCTATATTCTGTCAAACGCCTTGATAAACAGTGGGTCTAGTCAAAATGCCACACTATGGAGCGAAATTGCGATTTATGGACATAGCGATTTTTTTCACAATTTATAAATGCGAATATACTAATATAAATGCGAAAGTAACTCTGTCTGTCTGTCTGTCTGTCTGTCTGTCTGTCTGTCTGTCTGTCTATTACGCTTTCCCGCTTAAACCTCGCAACCGATTTTGATGAAATTTGGCATAGAGATAGTTTGAGTACCGTGAAAGAACATAGGATAGTTTTTATCCCGGTTTTTGAAACAGGGACGCGCGCGATAAAGTTTTTCTGTGACAGACAAAATTCCACGCGGGCGAAGCCGCGGGCGGAAAGCTAGTTGATAATATCTTTGGATATCACTGCGTCTCTAGTCCCAAACTAAGCAAATCTGGTACTATGGGTACCAGAAAATGGATATTAATTTTACTTGTCAGCCTTTAATAGAGACTAATACCATTATCATTAATGTAAGCTTTGTTACTATTATTATATGCTTTAATCTTAATTTCTTATAGCCAAAATTTGTACCAAATATTTTTTTCTTTTCTTTTTTCTTTCAATAAATTGCCTGACTTGTGTGTTCTCAGACCCCAAAGTAAAGATCTTCTTGTAAAAACTAAAAGGCTCCTGCGACACAAGCTATGCTTAGTGCAGAAGCAGCTAGTCATAAGAATACTCTGTACACTGATTTAATAGCAATAAACATTTTATTATTATTATCTCCTTTATTAATTTTCTTTCTTATTTTTATTTTTTTCTTTTTACAATGTAATTATCAAAAAATAAAAATACATTATAAATACAAAAATCTTAAAAATAGTTAACCCGCTGGCAGCGGAGCAAGGCCCAAACTACCGGTGGTCAGGGTCACAGGCTGAGGAATTATTATTATTATTATATATTTTTTTTAATACATAGGATATTGTAGATAGAAAACACCCAGACCAAATACAAACAAATATGTTCAGGTACACAAATAAATTTACATCTTTGATTTTATTTCCTTTCCACACATAATTAGTAGTCTCTTTTTATTTTTAATCATTTCATCATCATCATTTCAGCCATAGGACGTCCACTGCTGAACATGCTATCCATGTTGCTCGATTGGTAGCGGCCTGCACCTATATTTAAACTCTCACTATAATTTAAACATTTATTGGAAATAAATTACACCAAAGTCAGAAGTTTCAGTCCCTTTTTCTCTCCTCGTCTTCTTATGTTCACTTCTTTTACCTCCATATCGATATACGCAGATAGTGCATGGTCTTTTTTGTATGATGCATTGGCATAAATTCTGCCTTTAGTGAATGGGAAACCGCGTGGAATAACCCTGATGTCAATGCTCATGTTGTATAAATAATAGTCGTCCTGAAAAATAAACGTATTAAAAACATATAAAGCAACAAAAACTTCTTACCTAGTCTATAAATTATAAGTTAGTGGAGAAAATGTGTGTAAAGTTTTGTTTAAAGAATATGTATGTTGAATAGTCTCGTCAACCCTTCCAGCAAAGCTGAATATGGCGGGTTTTAGAATCGCTCTGACCGCTCGCTGATCGTCGACGCTGACAGATCAATATGTATGTAATTAAAGAAAACGTTCCTAGGGGATGCTCTTCGGCTGTCAGCGCCAACTGTCATCATGCGTCAGCGCATTGCAGTGTTACGAGGGGGTTCACCACAATAGTCCAGTGATAGCAGAGCTCGAATTGCGTTCTTCGCATCTCGAGTCGCCCAGTCCGACACCTTAATTGTTGGGGTACTGTCGCCTGAATAATTTTTAAATCAATCTCTCTCTTTTTATGTTTAATTCTTTTAGTTACGTCATAATTATCCTCAGACATTACATATTCTCCAGAACTTTTGTAGAGCATAGATTCATCATCATCATCGTTTCAGCCATAGGACGTCCACTGCTGAACATAGGCCTCTTCCAATGATCTCCACATCGCCCAATTTGGTAGCGGCCTTTATGATACCTACCTATAGATAGATGAACCCTTAGAGTAGGCGCACACCGTTGATTTTTAGTTGGCCGATTTTAAATTGTATGAAGAATCGGCCAAATCGAATCGGCGTAATGTGCGCACTCCCATACATGCCCAAACTGATCAACTGCCCGACTAAATTATCGGCCGACGAAAAATCAACGGTATGCGCCTACTCTTAATGAGACGGGAACCTTACCGGTGGATATGGACACGGCTGTAAAAACTTTCCTTGCTTCATAGGAGCTCCGAAGAATTTATCTTTATGGATCAGATCGCAGAATTTGAAGTGCATCTCAATGAAACCACGTTTGTACACATTCGAAAGGAACTCGAAAAAGTAGAAATCAACCTGTAATCAAAATAATAAAACTACAAATAACCGCGATAGATTAGAATATTTTTTTCTGTCAATGAGGGTTTATTCAAAGTCAAAATTCCTTTATTTGCATGGACTATTAAAAATAGCGTTTAAAATACGTCAAATACAGAGTGGTTATGTAATCAGACTCCAAATTTTTAATTTTTAAATTAAGTCGACCTAAGGAGCTACTCGCTAGTGAATCAGTAACTTAATCGATTTACGTAAACATCCCATTTTTTGCAGGACCCCGTTAAGTAGTATAGGAACGTGTTATAATTAAAGTTTTCACGAATCTGTTCGAATGTGTTATTCGAATTTTAAACAGATTACGTGTTTTAATACGACAGTCCAGTTTCCTGCAATACTGGATCCCTCAAAATTGGATTGCCATGGGAAAGAGCCCTTAGTTGTCTAACGAAAAATTCTATTCCTTTTCTAGATATAAAATAAGCCAAACCACAATCATTCAACGACGTTCCACCAGCTTGCACTAAGCATTTCGATAACTCTTTTATAATGCGAACAGCTTGCAACTGTAATTCCAGGCCTACCTGCTGTCTTTCCCGAACACTATAATCCAGGCCTTTTCAAGGCGAAAGTGAAAGGTAGGGTGGATTTGTACCATTTTAGACTGCATCTCACTTAAAATCAGGTGCGATTGTGGTCAAATACTTACCATGTTCTGCATAAAAAATGCAAGTTGCATGAGCAATACGAAACTTACCGTAAC